TTTGCAACACATAATGGCAACAATTAAATGAGGACACAATATTATCTAATCTGTGCTCTTTACTTCCCAGGATGTGGAACGTTTTCTGCAGGAGCCCATCTTTATCTCTAGGAGCCTCTGGCAAACAGTTCCATTTCAGCTCAGGGCTTTTTGTAGAAGGAGCTTAATGCTAAAAGCAGGGGGCTCCTGCCCTCCACCCACTCTGGTGGTTAACACGTTTTTCATCTTTGTCCTGAGGTTGCACCAGTCTGGTTCAATTTTTTTTTTTTTTTTTTTTTTTAGTCTGGTTCAATTTTTATTTCTGTTAATTTTTAATGAATTAGTAACTCAATGATCCTGGCTCTGAATCTCTGGAAGCGTGGATTGTTAGTAAGGATCGAATCAGCTTGTTGGCTCATAATAGGCTCTGAAATCCAGAAACATTCATGGTGTGTTTATTTACTTGGGTGGTTATCGGATCCCAGTAGGAGGAAGAGCTGAAGAGATGAATCCAGTCAAAGCCTCTCTGGTTGCCCAGAGAGCTCTAGTGGTATAACCTCTGCCCTCACTGCAGCATCACCCTTCCAAGGAGGATGTTACTACCCCCTTCTATTATTACTTACCTGGCTTTATGAGAACTTTCACATCTCCAAACCAGTAAGCATGTAAGACTTGCTTCAAACTTTATGAAATATCTGCTATGACGATCGCTTAATTAGAAATTAGCTGGGGCGCCTGGGTGGCTCAGTCATTAAGCGTCTGCCTTCGGCTCAGGTCATGATCCCAGAGTCCTGGGATCGAGCCCCATGTTGGGCTCTCCGCAGTGAGAAGCCTGCTTCTCCCTCTCCCACTCCCCCTGCTTGTGTTCTCTCTCTCCCTGTCTCTCTCTCTCTCTCTCTCTCTGTCAAAATAAATGAATAAACTCTTAAAAAAAAAGAAATTAACTTACATCATAGCTGTAACTGTGGATGCTGAACATTATGCAGAATGAAAATGGAATTTAACTGAGTAGTCAGTAATTTGTACCCAAAAGCTACCATCGTCACATATACCAAGGGAAGTATCGATGAGTATATTTAAGATGCATTTAAATGAAAAACAAGGGGCGCCTGGGTGGCTCAGTCAAACATTGGACTCTTGGTTTCCACTCAGGTTGTGATCTCAGGGTCGTGAGATCGAGCCCCCTGTCTGCTCTGTGCTCAGCGGGGCGTCTGCTTGAAATTCTTTTCCTCCTCATTCTCCCTCCCCCTCTGCCCCTCCCCCAACTCAACGCACTTGTGTGTGTACTCCCCCCAAAATAAACAAATAAAATCTATTTAAAAGATGAAAAAACAAGACAAAACCAGAAATAGTGCACTAGAGAAATCCTGACTGTAGGATTAATAAAGCCGTATTTTCAACTCAAATACTTACAAGACTATATACAGAAGGATAATTTGTGCACAGCATGTAAATAATCGTGATTCTCAGTGGGAAATATTTGCATTTTAATTGCTACTAGTAATGGAAAGAGTTGTGTCTTTTTACTTGTCCTCTTATCATTAGAGAAGTTTACCATAAACTTAATTCAAGTTTTTATCTTAAAAATAGTGTCCTAAAATCTTGGTCACAGTTTCCTATTGTTTGATATTCCCCCTGTTTTGTTTTTGTCGTTTTAAATCAACTGTTAAAACCGACTGAGTAGGGCAGAAGGTGTATGTCTGTGGTTCACTGAAAGCCAACCAGAAGGCTCAATTAGGAACAGCAATCGTCTCTTTGAAGAGAGGAGCTGAATCTGAAGTCTCATTAGTTTAAGTGCCAGAGTAACAACCCACAGCCGTCCTTAATATAGTGGTTCCTTTTTACACCCTATATCCTCAAACCATCTCTACTATAATTTTCTTAATTTTTTTTAATGGACCACCTTTCACTGAAATAAACTTTCTTTAAATGAAACTTTTAGATGATGACTTCAGATGAGAAACCAGTATCCCCTGCCACAAGAGGTAATAACCACAAAAAGAATTAATGGTGAAAACAGGAAAGCATTATTGAATTCTAGCTAAAAGCTGGAGCTTGCCAAGGCTCTGAGCCTCAGGCTTTCTCTCTCTTGTTTTCATTTTCTCTCTCTCTCTCCTTTTTTGGTAAAGTGTTAAAGATGTATTGAAGACACCAAATGGAGACCTTTTCTAGACATACTGAGGAGCATAGGGAAATTGAAAAGCAGAAGAACTTTCTCACAATATGATATAGTGAGACTAAAACCTCCGAACTCCACATTACCTTTGCCTTAGAAAAAAGGCAACAGGTGCCTCAGGAAAACCACCTCACATCTCCTAAGTTTAACAGTTGGGAGTGATAATGTATGACTCTCCAAGTGAAGCCAAGTTGGACCCAGGGCTCTTTTTCTCCCAGATTCTTCTTCCTCTTGGGCATTCTCAGACTGCTGCTGCTGTCCCCCAACCCCATGCCTCAGGGGAGCCCTCCGGGACATTCTGCTTCAAGCATGAACACAGGCTTCCCTCCTTCTTTCTTTTTTTTTTTTTAAGATTATCTATTTATTTATTTGACAGAGAGAGACACAGCAAGAGAGGGAACACAAGCAGGGGGAGTGGGAGAGGGGGAAGCAGGCTTCCGGGGGAGCAGGACACGGATGCGGGGCGCGATCCCAGGACCCTGAGATCATGACCTGAGCCGAAGGCAGACGCTTAACAACTGAGCCACCCAGGTGCCCCTTCCCTTCCTATTTCTTCTGAGGACACCTGAGAAGAGACTGGGTATTTAAATAAAACTTTATAAACAAATGGACTAACAAAACGGAAATACAGAGAATGCCTTAATCTTCCTTTCTATCATCGGTTTGGAGTTTCCCAGAGGCAGTGGTTCTCAGACTTTAGCTTGCATGGAAATCACCTGGAAGGCTTATTAAAACACCGCGTGCTGGACCCCGCCCCAAATTCAACAGGCCTGGGTTGCGGCTGAGAATGTACGTTTCAAGCCCAGAAGAGGCTGGCGCTGCTAGTCTGGAAATCACACGGGGAGAACCATTGTCCCGAGACCTGTCGCTTCCTGGCGTCCCCTGCCTCCCTCCTTTTAAACAGGCCCATATCTGAGGTATGTGGAGAGACTCTTTAAGGGCCAGATCCTCATTCTAAAACGGAAAGTCAGTGGGTCTCATAAATAAGAGTTGAATTCACTCTCAAGTAGGCAGAGACCAGCTCTTTGCTCGTACTACCCACGCGTCTCCCTCTCACTGAAGTCACCCAACCACATTTCCTCAATTCAGAGGAATTTCACATCGCTGCAACTGGCATACGTTCCATGGTCATTGTTAGTCACGTTCCGAGCGCGCCGGAACCTGGTTCTGGTGATTCAAGTTATTGTTGCTGCGTGAGTGAGGTGCGTTTTTGGTACTGCACGAATGGACTTCAGTGTCATCTAAAATATCTTCAAAATTATAATATTGTGCTTAGCATTGAAACAAAAAGTAATTGTGGATGAAGGAAGGCGTGGGAGTAGGGCAATGGGGCTTACGTTTGGTATTGAAGCAAATATTTTCTCCCTAGAATGATTGCAATTCCGTATTTTTAAAACAAGCTATGATAAAAGTTTTATTTTTAAATAGCAACATTTACAATACACCCATACATAGTTTATAGTTACATAAATGCTGTGATGGCGAAAAACATTAATCTCACCTTAAAAATACGGCATGTATAGATTTTAAAAATTCTGTTAGGGATGCATGAGCAAAAAACCGTGAAGACCCCAGCTCTAGATTGCAGTTTTCCAAATGACCCTCACAGTACTGGCACCTGGCCAAAATAAATAATTTATTTATTTTTAGAATTTTATTTTTATTTATTTATTTTTTTAAAGATTTTATTTATTCATCTGAGACACAGAGATAGAGAGAGCATGAGCAGGGAGAGAGGCAGAGGGAGAGGGAGAAGCAGGCTCCTGCTGAGCCAGGAGCCCGATGTGGGACTCAATCCCAGGACCCGCGGATCATGACCTGAGCCGAAGGCAGATGCTTAACCATCTGAGCCACCCAGGTGTCCCCAAAATAAATTATTTAACTGTCCATGGAAAAATGAGAAATAGGACAACTTATTCATTTTTTAAAATGAAGCTATATGTTTCCGGTTTAAAGTTCTGGCTTGTATTCTGAAATAAATTCCTTTCTTCATTTTTGGAGAGGAGGAAGTTAAAATATCCTTTAGTTTCAAAATTATGGTGTTAATACTTAAGAGGCTTTTTTTTTTCTTTTCCACATTTCCTTTTAAAGCAACAATTGCATGCTTTATAGCATCTACATGAGGAAGCTGCCCCTAAGTAGATGAAGCCGAGTTTCATCTTGTTACTGAGATACACATGAAATATAACTTGTTAAGCAGTCAGTTGAAAGCAGAAGAAATTCCTAAATCTCTGTGAATATACAAAATAAATTTCAAAGCCACAGGACTATCATTTTAGGCATTGCAGTAGTTTAATCAGCATTATTTTTTTCTTAGTGGTTCAGAAAACAGTAGTGTGATGTACAAATGATGTTGCTTTAGGTATGATCAAACATTCATCTGAGCACCTAGATAAACCAATGCTCAATACATCCGTGCTAAAAAGCCTTGGGCTAAAACTCCTACTCATCTATGATTTTACATTTACCTTTGTGGCCTTGATGGAACAAATAGCCCAGCGTGGTCAGGGGGATAACTTTAAGGCAGACCCACATTCTAGGAGTATTGGGAGATGGGGCAAGGGACAATATTAAAGAACAGTACCACGAGTTCTAATGAGGAGGATTTACACCAACGGTTCCTGATGGGAGGCAGTTACACAGGAGGGCAGCGCGTGTTGGGATGAGGAAGGAATAAGGGATATTCTTGTAGAGCCTGGCATATAGTCAGTACGTAACTGTTTTGATGACTGGATAAGCAAATGAAACGTTTGAACATTTTTCCCCATGATGAATTGTTTTCTCACGAACAGGTAGTTACTTATTTTTTTAATATTAATCTCCTCACTCCTCCAAGGCTAAATAAGGTATCAATCAAAGAGTGTGAGAAGTAAATCGTGTATTACCCGTGAAAGCAAGCAGTGGCCCGTATGTCACGAAAAGAATTCGGATTTGAATGAGCAAAAAACAGGTAGTGGGCAGGGTAAGTATTCTAACTGGACTGTGACTTACTGAGAAATGCCTCATATTCTACTTTTCCTTTATGTCCTCACTTGTTTTGGTTTTGTGGGGATATGCTAGATTAATTTGCCTCTGATGACTGTATCCTTCCTGGGTGAAAGGGAATGAGTGACTAGTACCTAGCTTTACCTCTCTGCGGACAACAGATAGGCTGACGTGACTGGAGGACAGCCAGTGTATGTTTTCTCTGCCAAGCGGGATTTCCCAGGCTGAATTATATTTGAAATTTGTTTGTCTTGGTTCCTTCGTTATTATACAAAGCTAAAAAACCGGATGGAGTGTTTAAGCACAGAATCACAGGATTTAATGTCTTCTAGACACAAGGGGTCAGCATTTCAACACAGATGATTCTGTCGACACCTTGCCTTTCTTGAGTTCTGTGGCTCTTCAGTAGGCTTGATGTGTTTATGTGTATGAGGGTGAATAGGGAAATGAAACTCAATTTGTATTTTGCACATCGGTTTCTTTTCCAGTGGCGAATGTTGACACGTCTCTTGTAGATGCAATCAATTTGCTATAGCTGTGGAAATGATATCTAACAGTGAGTCTTCCCAGCCTCAGTGGTCTCTATGGTGTTAGCAAACTTCAATGAATTACTGATGGACATAAATTTTCCTCTCCCCCAAAGAGGTTCTTAACCCAAAGAAACCTTAATCTATGCTTGCTTAATAAGTATTCATTTATTCCTGAGCTGTACTTATTTATTGATGCCAGTTTTCCCGGAAAAGGGGCCCTGGGCCAGTGAGATTATATATTGATTCTGGGCTTATTTAATAGGGCTTCTGACTTAGCATTGGGTTCCATGATATTGCTGTTTCTTTGATCCAACCTTTCATTTGCCATTCGTAACTCTCTACCTTTTAAGTAACAGTTTGAGAAAAGATGTTTTTATTTTTAAATTTTTTATTAACATATAATGTATTATTTGTTTCAGGGCTACAGGTCTGTGATTCATCAGTCTTACACAATTCACAGCGCTTACCATAGTAGATACCCTCCCCAGTGTCTATCACCAGCCACCCCGTCCCTCCCACCCCCACCATTCCAACAACCCTCGGTTTGTTTCCTGAGATTAAGAGTCTCTTATGGTTTGTCTCCCTCTCTGGTTTCATCTTGTTTCATTTTTTCCTCCCTTCCCCTATAATCCTCTGTCTTGTTTCTCAAATTCTTCATATCAGTGAGATCATATGATACTTATCTTTCTCTGATTGACTTATTTCACTTAGCATAATACCCTCTAGTTCCATCCATGTCATTGCAAATGGCAAGATTTCATTTTTTGATGGCTGCATAATATTCCATTGTAAATATATACCACATCTTCTTTATCCATTCATATGTTGATGGACATCTAGGCTCTTTCCATAGTTTGGCTATTGTGGACATTGCTGCTATAAATATTGGGATGTACATGCCCTTTCGGGTCACTACGTTTGTATCTTTGGGGTAAATACCCAGTAGTGCAACTGCTCAGTCATAGGGTAGCTCTATTTTCAACTTTTTGTGGAACCTCCATATTGTTTTGAGATAAGATGTTTTAACATAGAATTACTTTTTATAAGGAACACATACCAAACAATAAGATTTTTTTGCCATGAGTGTGATATTTCTGTTAATTGATGTATAATTAACATACAGTGTTATTAGTTTCAGGTGTGCAATATAATGATTCAACCATTCTATATATTACTCATTGCTCACCATGTTAAGTGTAGTCACCGTCTGTCACTAAACATTATTACCATATATCACCATTATATACTTATGGACTAGATTCCCTATTTTCTACTTCTCATCTCTGTGACTTATTTATCTTGTAACTAGAAGTTTGTACTTCTTAATCGCTTTTACCTATTTCTTTACTGTATTTTTATCATTCATTTTATCATTTATTCCTTTTCTTCAGGAACTATTTACAAAGTTCTTATCACGTGCCAGACACTGTGCTAACACTGGGGTTAAAGATCTGAACAAGAGAGTTATCTTCTCTGCCCTCAGGGAGTTTATAGTTTGGCGAGATAGTCTGACAGAACAGCAACAAATGTCCCTTGTCATGTTGGTGTGATATGTAAGGAGAATATGTAGCAGGGGGCTCAACTTAGTCTGGAATGGAATCAGTGAAGCCTACTGAGGGAGATCGCATCTGGTGAAGATCTAAGAGAAGGATAGCAATGAGCAGAGCAAGAGTAAGGGGATGCACAGTCCAGGCAGAGGGAACAGTGTATGTGAGGTAGGAAGGAATGTGGTGCACTAAAAACAAACAACCAAAAAAAAAAACAAAAAACCTTAGACAAAGGTCTGTGGGGTTGGTTCAGGGTGAGTAAGGGGAATAAAAATGTGATATGAGCCCAAAAAAGCAGGCGGGGGCCAGATTATGGGGGCTTCAAAGGCCAGGGTAAGGATTTGGGCTTAATTCCAATAGCGATAGGATGCAAGTTAAGGGTTTAAATAGGAAAATGACACAATTATATATATATATATATATTTTTATTATGTTAATCACCATACATTACATCATTAGTTTTTGATGTAACGTTCCATGATTCATTGTTTGTTTATAACACCCAGTGCTCCATGCAGTACGTGCCCTCTTTAATACCATGAGAGACTGTGGACTCTGAGAAACAAACTGAGGGTTCTGGAGGGGAGGGGGTGGGGGGATGGGTTAGCCTGACACAATTACATTTTTACTTTTAAAATAAAACTTTGGCTTCTGTGAAAAGATTGATTGGAAGAGGTAAGGAATGCACAAGTGGAGACCAGCTGGGAGGCTGGATGCAGAATCTATTACTGCATCACAAATTTCTCCAAGACTTAGCTTCCAACAAACACTTACTGTCTCATAGTTCGTGTAGGTCAGGAGTCCATGCCCAGCTTATTTGGGTGCCCCTGGCTCAAGGCCTCACAAGGCAGATCTCAAGGTGTCAGCCAGGGCTGCTGTCACATCTGAAGCTCAATTGTGGGAGTTGACACACCCATGGTCACTCATGTGGCTGTTAGTAGGCTTCATTTCCTCATGGACTACTGGACTGATGATTTCAGTTCCTTGCTGGTGGCTTCCCTCAGTTCCTTGTCTTTTGGATCTCTCCATAGGGCAGCTGACAACATGGCAGCTGGCTTCCTTCAGAGCAAAGGAGAGAGTGAGAGATGAAGAGCAAGATGAAAGACAGAGTCCTTTGTAACCATTTCAGAAGGGACCTCCCATCATTGTCCTATGTATTCTATTTTTATTAGAAGTGAAAAGAGAAAGGATTATGTAATGGTGTGAATACCAGAAAGTGAGGATCATCGGGGATGATTTTGGAGGCTGCTGCCATGTAGGGTGTTGCAGTGGTCTCACTGAGAAATGACAAAGTTTGAACTTGGATGGTATCAGTGGGATGGGAGAGAAGTGCTAATAATAAGTGTTCTTCCTCTTGGAGAACAGGAGTGATATTTAGAAGATAGAATTGAAAAAAAAAATATGTGCTAGTTGATTTGATCTGGTGGATAAAAAACCGAGTTAAAAGACGACTCCAGATTTCAGGCTGGGGTTCCTGAGTTGATGGCAGTACTTCTCACTTATAGTGCTACACTACAGGACAGGGGAGCTGGGAAGTGCAATTTTGGACCCATGAGGTTTCAGATGCCTGTGAGGTATCTAACTTAAAAATCAGATAGGTGGTTATATATTCAACTTTGGAGCTCATAAGAAAGTTAGAGGTCCGATGTGGGTCACCATAGAGATGTTAATTAAAGCGTGCTTTGGTTTGGTTTTCCAGAACCACAAATTTCCCAAGTGACCAGTGGGTCCCTGGGAATGAGATGACTGAATTCTTTCTAATTGCACTCCTTGGCTTCCAGATTCATATATTCTACCCGTCAGAGAATGCTCACATAATGAGCATTGGCATAAAGTATATGCTACCTCAGGAACCAACACCCCAACCTCATAGTGTATCATCTCCAAGCTGGCACCTTAGAAGTTCCTTCAAGGGGCTCTTCCATTCTCTTTCAGGACAACAATGTCTGGGTTATACAATATGTGTGAGACAAGCAGCAATCGATTTTTAGGTTTTTGTTTTGTTTTGTTTTTTTGTTTTTAAAGATTTTATTTATTTGACAGAGAGAGACACAGAGAGAGAGGGAACACAAGCAAGGGGAGGGGGAGAGGGAGAAGCAGGGTTCCCGCGGAGTAGGGAGCCCAATGCGGGGCTTGATCCCAGGACTCTGGGATCATGACCTGAGCTGAAGGCAGACACTTAACGACTGAGCCACCCAGGCACCCCCGATTTTTAGTTAGTACCAACATACCAAGCTGGTCTACCAACAACCAGGTCTGCGTTTTTCTCTCCTCCATTATTGGATGGATTCTCTGGTATTCTACAACAGAACCATTGTAGGATGCCCACATCTCTGGGCCCTGAGATCATTTCCTCAGAACTCTGTGGACATTGTTCGGACATCTCCACCTCATTTAATGTGAACCACATTTTCCCCCCAAGGTTCTAGGAGTCATCCCAGAAATGTGTTAAGACCAGCTCCAAAGCCCCAAAGAAAGTCCCAGAGGTCATTGAAAGTAAAAGCAGACCTAAACCAGGGGAAAGGCCCACAGACTGGTACAGGTGGGTGAGGGGAGCTACAGACTACCAGTGGTGTATACTACAAAGCCATAGGAGGGGATGATGTGAAGAGAGGGTAAAGTGAGCGGGGCGAGGACTTCAGACATAGTCCTCCCTTTAAGACCCCAGCATTCAATGGTTCATGAGAGGGAATTGCCAACAAATGAGATAGGAAGAAAGTTGTAAAAGAGATGATGGGCAGACAGGGTTTTAGGAAAAAAGGATTATTGCATTGTATTGGCAAGATGTAGTATCCTGGAGGACAATGATGACCTTGGCAAGAGCAGAAATGTCAAGTGGGACAGTGGGCCCAAGAGCCAGATTTAGAATGAATAGTGGGGGGTTGGGGGAAATAAAGCCA